AGAAGTAGCAATTTTGCTTGTGAAGTGTTGCCCTCAACTGCTATTTAGGATTCATATTTCAAATCAAAATGCAGATTATTAACTCATTTGATGTATGTCTTTATGCGTCCTGACAATCACCGTCAGAGAAGCCATGTGGCACTGACATTCTGATCTGAGTTACTAAAAGCAGAGTATCAGAAGTGCTAATTATTACATATTGGCAACAAAAATGAGGCAATGATTATGATAGTTATAAATTCACTGGGGCAAATAGCTGTGTTCTATAAACATCTGGTCTTATACAAGGACATTCTTTGTTGATCTAGCGTTACTAAAAGCAGAGTATCAGAAGTGCTAGTTATTACATATTGGCAACAAAAACGAGGCAATGATTATGATAGTCACAAATTCACTGGGGCAAGTAGCTGTGTTCTATAAACATATGGTCTTACACAAGGACATTCTTTGTTGATCTAGATTATCAAACAAAATTATACCAAAATGAAACATAACTACTACATTCAAAAGAAAAAAAATCCAAAATTCATATTAGTGTAATATCTATTATTAAGCAGAAAAAAGTTTTACAAATGGCTGGAATTCCACTGGTGTTTGCATAAAGTTCACATATCTTGCTGCAATTAATTGATAAGAAGGATGCAGACAAACTGGAACAAGTTCAGAGAGGGCAACAAGGATAATCAGGGGGCTGGAAACCAATCTGTACGAGGAAAGATTGAAATAATTGAGCATGTTTAGCCTTGAAAAAAAGAAGATATGATAACACTCTTCAAGTATTGAAAGATAGTCATACAGAGAAGGGGCAAGGTCTGTTCTCAATCATTCCAGAAATAATGAAGAGCTCAAGTGCCAGTAAGCCAGATTTTGGTTGAATATCAGGAAAAATGTCATGTTAGCAGTACAACTATGGAACCAATTATCTCAGGAGGTGGCGAGCACTCCAATGCTGAAGGCATTCAAGAGATTAGTTACCAATTTGTCAGATATACTTCAACTTGGATTCCTGAGCAGGGCGTTGAGCTAGATGGCCTTATAGATGCCTTTCAACTCCATTATTCTATGATTCTACAATAAGGTATTGGGGTAATTCTTGATTGTGCAGTCAGTGTGTGATTAGGCACGTAGGGGCAAGGTCTGTTCTCAATCATTCCAGAAATAATGAAGAGCTCAAGTGCCAGTAAGCCAGATTTTGGTTGAATATCAGGAAAAATGTCATGTTAGCAGTACAACTATGGAACCAATTATCTCAGGAGGTGGCGAGCACTCCAATGCTGGAGGCATTCCAGAGATTAGTTACCAATTTGTCAGATATACTTTAACTTGGATTCCTGAGCAGGGTGTTGAGCTAGATGGCCTTATAGATGCCTTTCAACTCCATTATTCCATGATTCTACAATAAGGTATTGGGGTAATTCTTGATTGTGCAGTCAGTGTGTGATTAGGCACGTATCTGAGACATATCCCAGCTCCTTGTCAATTAGTGGCAATTAACCACCTTAAGTTATACAGACCTTACACAAACACTGGTAGGATTCTAGCTAAATAAGCATCTCCAGAAGTGTTAATCAGAGGTGATGCTACAGATACCGTCAAAGAATAATGATGGTGAGAGCCTGACAATGGTGAAATGTTGTAATATTTATCAAACAAACCAGTGTTCTCAGAATTAGAATGTATGGACCAGAATGGATTGGATAATCCTTCATACTGTGCAGGGGCCCTTTTGTAATATCAGTAGTCTTACATACTATTCAGTGGTTATCTGGTCCTGGATGTGAGCACTAATGAAGTATGTCGATAGCATGACCAAAGCAAGGAGGGATGCATTGACCACTCCCTTTAGAATGCACATCCAAAAAAACCCTCAAAACTGTCTCAGTAAAAATGAAACAAAAAAAATTGCAAAACACAATTTAAAACAAAATGTTGTCATTTTAAAAGGCTCCCTAGATGAGACTTTGGACCATACAGGGAAAATCCAAGTTGTATAGATTGGGGTAAGTATTTTCCAAAATAGATTTTGATACTTTCAAAGAGGCTTGTGACATTCCCCACAGTTCTCCATCCTACAGAAATGAATTTATTTTCTGATAAGAATCCAGATGATAGTACTTCAGGGATATTTTATAGTACATGAAAGATAACCATTCAGTTACATAACTGATTCCCAAACTTTTTTGATTTCCATCACTACCTTGTCTCTCCTTGTGGCTCCACATCTGGTTACATGAATTCATTTATTTATTGCACAAACCCACTGTTTTTGCGATTTTCAAATTACATAGTTTGAAATCAGCTTAATTCTAATGATTTACATAGTACAGAAACACAGCTAAATGATAAAATTAAGATTTGGAGTGCAGATGGCAGAGAATTTGGCATGAAGAGCTCCATTTGGATGCAAGAGCAACTTAATATCCAGAAAACATGTATAACTGAGAAGTGCCTCATGTGTGTATATGATAAACTGTCTACGAACTGGATAAGAGCCAAGTTCACTATTGCTATTGCATTTTTAATATTGCTGCATCTGCTGGAGAAGACATTTACTGGACAGAGACTTCCTCCCCTTTAAAAAAAGAATAGTAAATGAGGGGATATAATTGTAAGGATGCAATGATTGAAGTTAAATTTTAGTTTGAACAGCCTCATCCCTTGGGACAGTTCAACAAGTTCACTGGTTTAAGAAGACTGATTTTGATTCATTCGCTGTCCAAAATTCAGAGTACCTGGCTGTGGAACTCTGCATCTAGGATGTTCCTCCTGGAAGAGAACCAAGGTAAGGCAGAAGGGATAGGAAAAGTGTGACATCCCAAAGTATCCCTCAGGGGAGTTAACACCTTTCAGTAGCACACAGAGATTCTGTTCACAGATCTACCCTGCACTTTGTTAATAGACACCTAGTGTACTCCTACACTAACGCCTATATACTAGGGACTGCTAAGCCTCCTTTATCATCTTTCACTTCGCTCTGTGAAAGGATTTTATCCCAGCCTTCACTTGGGACTTTAAACTTTAGATAGTGCTGCTACCACTGTTTACTAATCTAGAACTCTATGGATAGTTCAAATTTTCTTTATGTTTCCTCCCTTTAGATGAATTATTGTGAAGCCGTTTCTCCACTGTCTGTTACTGTTGATTATTAAATGGCTACGTAAAGGTAATGGTAAAGGTTCCCCTTGACAATTTGTTCAGTCATGTCCAACTCTAGGGGGCGGTGCTCATCTCTGTTTCCAACCCACAGAGCTAGCGTCTGTCCGAAGACAATCTTCCATGGTCATGTGGCCAGCGCGACTAGACACAGAACACCGTTACCCTCCCACTGTGGTGGTACCTATTTATCTACTCGCATTTTGCATGCTTTTGAACCGCTAGGTTGGCGGGAGCTGGGACAAACAATGGGGGCTCACTCAGTTGCATGGATTTGATCTTACGACTGCAGGTCTTCTGACCTTGCAGCACAGAGGCCACAGAGCCACCATGTCCCTTGATTAAATGGCTAGAGAAAAGTAAAGCAATGGCTGCACCTTTTGCCTGTTATGTGATCTATGGAAAAAATTGTAAATAGTACAGTTGGGTTCCAGTGCTTATTCACAGTATTTTTATGAGCTGTAAACTATACACCTCTAAATATATGCATCACATACAATAATATTTTAGTAAGTAAACAACCCTTCATTTCAATGTTTTTTTAAAAAATAATGTATAAAATATATAGCAAGTCATTATGCAGGGCCAATTCTCCAATTTTTTAACCAATACCTGCTTTGGATGAAAATAAAACATCTCATGACCCCATTCAAAACTGCTGGGGCAAATCTACTTTGGACCAGGAAAGAGGGGGACTGGTACATCAGAAGTATTCTCCCTGTACTTAATCTAGCACTAATTGTAGAAAAAAGTACAGTTTGATGGATTAGCTGGGAGGACTTCAAGCCAGGTGCACAGTAGCACCAACCAGGCTAATTGGCTAGAATGCTATTATGCCTACTGGTATAAGCCAAATTGTGTAAACTGCTGTGGTGTATGGCTACTTGCTGTTTCTTGTTGTTTGGCAAGTCACACTTTTGGTAGGCAACAGGAAACATAAATCTCTGTTTCTGAACTAGTAGCAATTTGCCACAGTGAATTATATCATTTGACTAATGCCAGCGGGATAAGTAATAGGATTCTGGCCAATTAACTCTATATTACACTGTCATTCAGCAATAAAGGTGAAGAAAAGACAACAGGTGCATCATTGCACATTATAAAAAGACATAACAAACTATATAATAAGAAAGCAATTAAATATAATTGTTCCAGACTGAAAAACCTACATTACAATATTGAAGATATTTTTCAACCTAAACATGTCTCCCTTTAAATCCGGACATGTCTACTCATGTGTGCCCATTGGTTGATAAATCACCACACTACAGGTATTCAGTGTGCACTGCAGGTTTCAATTAATGGCTTTGAAAAGGGAATTTCTCTTTTGCATTTATTGTGTTTCGCAAGTTCCAATCTTTTTTGTCAATTGACTTGTCAAGGGCAAAATGTCATGAAAGAAACATTAGAAATCATTCAAATAAATAATAAATCAACAATACAACAAATAGTTCTTTCACAATCCAAATTTCAATCAGGATCCTTTTCAAATAACTTGCAAGCTACAGTCTATTGAATGCATAATGAATGCTAGAACATTTTTAGTAATTTTCCAGATATGATGTGCTTAAGTGCTGATCTTTATTACATACAATACATTTCACATAGAAAATTCTGAGATGACAAATCTGTTGCAAGTATTTGCCTTCAATACAAAACTATGCAATATACCTTAGCAACATTTCTTTTTTCCTATGTCTCATAAATTAAAAGGTGAAAAGATTATCCGTACAGAGATGCTGCAATGGAAACATACTGTTGGTGTATATGAAGACCTGTTTTTTCTGGACCACGGCGTGATCTTTACAAGTGCACACTACCAGAGAGAAATATCCAGTGGTTGCTCTCTGAACATCATTTGTGAATGATGCCTCTGGATCACAGAAACTGGTTGCAGTAATGATACATGAACACAAATGAAAATGTTCACTTTTGCAAATTAAAATATCTGCTCCGTTCATGTGCTTATTTTCCAAAGTCAAGGCGTGGCATATATGTTTAATAGAAGAAGAAAAAATTGTCAGTTGACAGGAAACCTACAAAATGAATTCTTTAAAAATGCACCCCTTTGATCAGGTAAAAGGCCACTGTGGCTAACTCTGTATTATCAGAATCAATACAGGAGTCATTTTCAATTTTGTGGGTGTCAAAGTTGGCCTGATTGCTGTAAGGCAAACAAGTTTCTTTTTCCCAGAATGAGCATATTACCACAGGAGAGGACGCAGGCCTCGCTGTTACAGGCCCATGTCATTTAAGGCATCAGAGATTTCTGTGTTGACTTGTGCTGAGGTGCTTGTTGGCAAGATGTTCAGGTAAATGTCATACTGTTGGTCCATTCCAAGATAGCTGTCACTCATTAAATATAACGTGTAGATATACCTATAAATTAAAAAGAACAGAGATCAGTCTTTTTCTTCCAAAAAAGAGAAGACATATTTCACAAACACAAGCAGTGATCAGCATTTTGCATCCTCTTACTTTCCAGGTGTTTCTGGAGTATAAAAAGCAAGTGAGGCCACATTCTGCTTTCTGACATATCCAACTCTTTTCAGAGCAATAAGCTCTTTTCTGTCCACTTCTCCAAGGATCAAGAACCACCCTTCATCTTTCGTCTTGGGGAATCGTGGTGCAATGGCTTTGCTATCTTGCCTGCCCTGAAGAAGTAAATATAAATATTAACAGCAGAATAATTAACATTAAATAATTAATAATAAATTAATAATTAAGCTAATACTAATATATGAAACCACACATTGCAAATGCAAAGGCAACTTCTCCCTTTTTTCTCCCTGATGTGGCCTTATGTGCCACCTAAATATTTGCTGTAAGGTTTTTGGAGGGCACAAAGGAGGGTGCTGGAGGGCCCCTCCCCCTCCTGGTTACACTGGCAGAAGTGGTTCCTCCAGTGAAATGACACCATCCAACGCAGCATGACCTATATAAACCGTATCATATCAAAACACAAACTACAGAAACATATTCATAATAAGTACTGATTTATTTTCATGGTCTTTTTTCATTCTTCATGGTTATCATGAGGAAGCAGGAAGCAGTTGCTCCAATCCTAACATACTGACCATTGTACAGCTGTGACATTGTGTAGTGATCACATGAAAATTTCTGACAGCCCTCACCATGTGAAATTTCAATAAAGTAGCCATCATATGAAATGGAGTTGACCAAGATCCATCATAGGGAGTAAGAGGACAGCCATAACCAGCCAAGATGGATAAACTAAGCCAGTTAAAGTTGTGCTGAATCTAAATTCCTCCCAGCCTGGTAATGGTAGAAATTACTTAGGATTATGCTGGCCCTTGCCTAACTTTGTGCTCTCATAGGAGTGGTGACTCTGCTCTGAGACTTTTCCCCATTCCGAACACATCACAGACTGTGTATCTTTGAGTTTGAATTGTACTGCCTCCTCCCCCAGAGCAACATAAAAAATACTCATTAGGAAAACATGGGTGGAACTTGAAAAATATAGATCAATATTGTACCTTGGGATAACCTAAATGCAATCTCTGCAAGTTGATCTGGAACATGTATTCTTGATCTGCATACAACTCCATCCACTTTTTGTTATCTCGCATGCTTGTAGCCAACAATGGGACAGATAGTTCCTGAACTGAATCATTCCAACAACCTTTAATGATTATGCGAACTTCTATCACTGGCAAGTGGGACAAAAAATGCCAAGCCTATGGAAAAGAATACATATACCTATGTGACATTCAATTTCAAGTGACATTCTGTCATTATTATTTATGTTGGGTGGGAACACACCTCACTATGTAATTACATTATTCATGCTGAATGTTCAGATAATTTTTAACCATTTCCCATTATTTATTTATTTATTTATTTATTGGATTTATATACCGCCCCATAGCGCTACAAGCACTCTCCGGGCGGTTTACAATTTTAATTATAAAGGCTACACATTGCCCCCCCAGCAAGCTGGGTACTCATTTTACCGACCTCGGAAGGATGGAAGGCTTACTGTATGATAGGCCAGCAAACAAACAAACAAAAAAAACATTTTATCTGCTCCCGCTGTGTGAACAGTATTTGAAGACACTAGCCTGTGATATTTTTTGCTGTATTATTAATCAAATCGAAATTCAGCGATCTGGAGATAAAGTATCTGGTCTAAAATTACCACTTGTATTCTATGAAAGACATAGAGAATACAACACTTTCTAATTGTTCCATTTTTAGAAAACAGAACCCATGGGGATGGGTTGTTAGACAATTAGGAGGGGAAAAGGCAATGAGGTCTCTCCTCAGTTTTTGAAAGCAGGTTAAGTTTGTGTTATTCTTTGGATTGCTTCTGGAAAGCATTTCTAAATGCTAAGTATTAGATATCTGAAAGTCATCTGTTCTACCTCCAGTGTAGGGATATAAAGCATGGCAGTCTGCAGCCTTGTTAAATAGAGCTATAGGTGTAACAGATAGTATAGGAATCTGAGAGAAAACAAGCAAGATGCAGAACGAGAAAAGAAGCATACAGGTCATAGAGGTATTGTTCCAGTCCTAGGCCTGCTGTTCTTCAGGTGGAACATATGTCATTTAAATGAGGAGCAAACAAATTTAAGGTTTGGTACGCACATGTGTAGGCCATTTAGACACTAGAGAAAACGAGAATAGCAGTGACACAACTACATCATATTGTAAGATTATTGCTTATTCGTGGTAATTATTCTCAGTGCTGTAATTCCCACAGATGCCTTGATAATTTTACTGCCTTCTCATCTTCCCTCGGGTGCTCCATTTTATTCCCTTGTGCCTCCCTCAGTCAGAACTTTGATTTCAACCCAACAGGATTGTGGCCATTGGCTGTCTCTGGAACATACTTTTGATCCTCACTAACTCAGGCTGATGGATAAGTCCTTCAGACCCATATTCCCTGGAGACTACATAGGCTTCTTGCAGGCAAGGGTCTCGCTAAATGCTACAAAAGCCCCAATGACTCCAATAGGTAGAATATCTACAATTCTGATGAGTTACTATTCATCAGATATTGCCAATCAGAGGTATGAATCAGGATCACTTCCTTATCATTTGTTAAATGTCTTAACAGAATGCCTCTGCTTTCAGCATTGAGTTTGCACAATCCTATTTCCAAATGTGCAGTGAAATTCTGAAATTCTGAACAAAAACTTTATCTGCTGAAGTGGACTATAAACCATAAAGGCTTGGCTATAATAAATTTGTTAGTGTTTAAGGTGTGACAGGATTCTTTGTTGTTTATGCTCAAAAACATATCACTCCCAAATCCTCCCTCCAATGAATGTGCACTGAAGGACCCAATATGGTTCTTCAATGCACAGGGCCAAGATTCTTCCACATTTCCATTGGACTCAATATGTCTATTTGTTTTAATATAATGGCTAGAGTTCTTATCATAAATATTTCACTCCTTGTCATCTTATTTAAGTACTTCTGCACAAACAAACCAAATATGAAACCCCTTAAGAATACTACATATGCTTTACAAAGATGATTTTATGTCCAAATTAAAAAAAAACCTTACCTCTACTGATTAAAGTATTCTTCTGTAAGCCCTTGAAAACTACTTATAATTACATTCTGAATTAAATCTTCCCAACGTAATCCATAATAAGTGAGTCACTGAAGTGCTAATTAGTGATAAGGCAAGCCACAGAGAGTTCAGAGAATCATTTCAGATAATTACCCAAAAGTTCAAATTCTGATGTAAAGTTACCCACATTCCTAAATTTCTTCTTGTAATGAAGTGCTATGAATCTTTAGTGACCTAGCTGGTGACATTATTTCTATTTGGTAGTTTTCAGGAGTTCCGTAAGACTAATTTTTCCAACAGTTTTTTTAAACAAACAATTTTGATTAACTGGAATCATATTTTGAATTGAGCAAACCTAAAACCGAGTAGGTTTTCTGTGCTTCTTTAACCACAGTCTTCTTTAACTGCTTTCTCCACCGCAGTCTTCCTGTTCTCCCTTCTCTCCTATAAGAGCTTGAATATTATCATGTCTACATTGCCTTTGCATGAGACAATTCATTCATCTTAGCATTCTGTCTAGTTCAGATTTCAGATGTATTGCCAGTTATACATTTATGCATAGTACAATAAATTATGTTATGTTCAAACAGCTCTTGAATGTACTTACTCTTCACTACCCTCCATGTTAAGTATCAAAGAATTATTCTTATCCAACAGTAATGAACATCTTTGCTCCCCCCCCCCAAATATGCTTGCTACCGCCTGGATCTTTTTATGTACTGGGAATTTTGTACTGGGAACTGGGAATTTTGTCTAGACTTTCCATTTCTGTATATTGTTCAGACTACAATGTTCTTCAGCTTTCCTAATTTTGTTCTGCAGATTCTTTTGAAGTTCTCTGTTTTTGACATTATTTTTATTTTTCCATTTGTCTCTCTTCTATTAGCTGTGTCATTTCTTCTATCATCCACTTCTTTTTTACAATTACAACATCTACTAAAACTTCTGTCATGTTAGAGCACGTAATTATAAACCATTCCAATATAATAAAAAAAGATACTCAATTAGAATTTTCACTTTTTATCCTCAGTTGCTCACTCCCACTGTTATTTTTTTAACTTGGCTTCCACGTCCACTGTGTAATGCAAGGGGGAAGGGATTCTAATACAGCTTCTGTTATTGTTTTCTTGCAAATAGGAAAAGGATTAAAGGGCCTTTTGTCCATGCACCTTTTGGCCAAGGTGCAACAAAAACCAAACAACCCATTTAGGAGCAGTGATATATGTGTCCTTTCTCCTACAGATAGTCACTTGTATAGAAGTTAGGGTCCTAATTGCACAATGTAGAGAGATAATATTAATCCTCAAGGAGCTTGACTAACTGCTAGTCAGATTCTAGGCTCAGTTTGAAAAATATCACTTTGTAGGAGTTTCCCTTTAAACTCTGATGTGCCATAAGGATAGGGGAAGGGGCACTCTTCATACCATAAGATTTTCTGGAGAAACCCCGGCTTAAAAATCTTTCACTCCATGGAGGTATAACAGACACTACCATATCTATGACCTTTTCAGTGATATTATCCTCATTGTAGAACTTGGTTACAATGAGGATAATATCACTACTTGGTTAGTTCCTTCTTGTAATTTGGAAACATTTGGAGTGCTAAAGTGGCAGATATGGGCTGGTATTATGAAAGGACAACTATGGCTGATACAATTACTCTGGTAAGCTATCAAATATATTGTTTGGTCTAATAGCTAGCACTCCTAGTTTAAAACCTTGAGACCAAATGGGTGAAATTCTGTTGTGCAACTTTACATTGTGCAACGATAATGATGTCAGACACACCTGTGGCATACTCATACAGGGGCAACAGAAAGCTTTCGAGAGCCGCCTACATTCTGAGGATCCCTAAGGATCCCATTCCCTTGGGCAGCCTTCAGGAGGTGCAGAACAGGAGAAGGAATGATTTAAAGCTGGAAAATTCCCACCACCAGTTCCCGTGGTGGGACTGGGATAGACAACAGTGATTTTCCAGCATTAAACCATTGTACCTCTTATTCTGCAGGTCCCAAACGATGCCCAAAGACAAAGGGGATCCCTAGGGATTCTCAAAACCCAAAGAGTGGCCCTCTAGGAACACTTCTGTTGCACTAAAATAGCCCTGGCATGTCTGCCTCTGATGATATCAACCTCACTATATGATGCAGCTCTGCCAAGAAGATTGTTGCAATCTTCAAAAATATATAATCTTCTATTGTTTATTCTACTCAACAATGTTAATATAAATATCCTTCTTAGCTGATGTACATGGATTGCTTCCTTAGGCCACAACTGGTGGCTTTTAAAAAACACCACTTTGGAAAATGTTACCTTACAACTCCCAGAATACCTCAAGCAGCACAAACAGTACGTAGTATATAGGAGTATTTGTAGTAGTAAAGAAAATGTTACCTTACAACTCCCAGAATACTTCAAGCAGCACAAACAGTATACAAAATTATATAACTTTTTCAGGCTGAGGTATATACCCATGTCAATTTATATTCCTGCATCATATGATCACACACACGATACAGAGATGTTCAAGTGGCTGGGCACACTGAGGAACAGATGTTATTCAAACTTTTCATGAGAGAAAAACATATTACTTTAAAACTCTGGCCAGTTCAGTAGTTCAATGTTGAAAAATTGTACACAAGAACAGTACATGGGAAACAGTTCCATGGGTTCAGGGACTGCTCACACAAGTTCCCAACAGGGTTCTGCTACTCTTTTTAATTATTACATTTAAACCATCCTTTTTCTCTAGAGACTTTTTTTTTCTCCTCCCCACCCTATCTTCTCAACAACCCTGTGAAGATGGTCAGACTTAGCAGCGTGACTGACCCAGTGAGTTTCGTGTCTGAGGAAGGATTTGAACTCAAGTCTCCTGAGCCCTAGTCTAACACTAACAGTTATATGACAATGTGTATGGGCTGCACAACAAGGCATTAAAGAGAACAGGACGTGTGTCACCATCTCACTTTGTGTGATGCATAGACAAAAGTGTTTCATTCTTTCTAAAATGTGCCTGCTTAAAGTAGTATATGTAGGAGTATTTGTAGTAGTAAGAGAAACTGGGATATTAAATCCTATTAGAATCTTCCTCTGGTAGATACTCTGCCAGTAGTGAAAAGACCATTATGCCTACTGAAGTTAGGTTTGTTTTCACCGGTGATTAACATTTTATTTGAACTTTTATTTAATTGGTTTAGTGGTAGAACTAGAAAAAGGTGGATGAAAATTAAGTCCAATCAATCTTTGCAACAGATTTCTGTGATAGTTTCTCTTTTACAACTATGTGAAATGCATACACATGTAGAAAAGTGACAAAAATTGAGGAGCAAAGCACATCCATAGGTTTCCTATGTAAAAAGTATATGGATAGTGCAAACACATGTTAGTGTTTTCTTCTATGTTGAAGAAGCATAATGTCTTTTATTTACAATGATGCACATCTAGGTGTGTAGTGTAAGCACAGTTTATGTTATTGACATATTAAAACAGATACATGAAAGATATGGACGCACCACATACACAAAAGCTATTTTTGAAGAAACTGCTAAGACATTTCGATACCAGCCAAACATATTTATCTGAGGATTAATCTTCATCTATTGAATCAGACGTGAACACTACCATGCATACAATTATTTAATTAGCAGCCAAATCCTCTGCCAGTCAGCCACTGTTCCAGGCATACTGATGGGGAAGTAGATGCAAATCTCACAGTAGTACTGCTTTTTCTCATTACTACTGCAATTAGCACTTAAATTGATGCTTTAAACATACTAATTTCTGGAATAATTCAGGATTTGTATGTTACCTGAGATCGTCTCACAGCAGAGACGACACCAGATTGCTACGCAAATTGAAGCACTTTTGAGCCAAATAACCATCATCGTATCAGACGGAACCAATTTGCATTTGGTTTTAAAGATAACAGAACGGCAATTTATGCAAATAAATTAAGTTAGTTTACTTCAGAGTTTTCCCTGAACTAATTACAACAATGTTCTAATTTTTCAATGCATCTATAACTTGGACTGAAGTCAACATGTATTGAGCTTGAAATCTATTGTTCAAGAAGGGTTTGTTCCCTTGTAAATGCATCCTCATCCAAGTTTTAATCGCACTTTATATTTAAGTACAGATGGCACTTATCTATATACATAGTTAACTTTTGCTCAGGAGCCAAATTTCAGTTTATCAGACATTACAGAGAAAAGCACAATGAACATATTTATTTCATATTTAAGAAAATCATCTAGAGCTCAGGATGTGAAAAAGATATTTTGTGTCTGTGTGTGTGTCTGTTAAAACATGCACATGTGACTTAATGTGCCATTCTTGAACTCAGAAAATTCTTCAGTTTGTGACAACTGTATAATATTATATGGTGTTTCAAAACACATATTTTGCTTAAATCCTCGTATCCATCCTGAAAAATAAGACAGTAGATTTCTTCCATTTAAGGGTAAATTCCAGCATATTCCAAGGTGTGCCTTTTTCTGCTTTTGAGTTGTTTGTGGGCTTGAAAAGTGCAACAATTCCAAACTAATTTATGTGTTTTATTTTATATTGTAACTCCTGCATCTTATGTACATGCATTTTGCATCCACAGTGTGCAGACATGAAAATGCAAGGCAAAGAAGCACCACTTACAGCAGAGAGTGGCAACATGTTGCCCTCCCATTTATGTTAGACTTTAGCTTCTGTCATTGCTTATCATCCTAAATATGTTGCAAGCAAAGATTCTTTGTTGACAAACACAATGGAAGTGACAATATCTTAATTCTTAATAATATTTATTCTTGTTACCTGAAGGACAAGACGTATCAAAATCTTTTTAGTTGTGATTTTGAAATATATGTGAAATATATGCAAGTAGTTAATATCAAGGAATGTGAAAGGACAATTTTCTTGATGTCTGCTCACAGGCTCTTAAATTTCCAACTGAGGAAGGCTAGGTCTCTTTCTTCTTTATTGTTTTTCTGCTAATAGGTAAATACCATTCAATTCAGGCAGGTCTTTGGTAATCAAACTTGCTGGCTGCATAAAGATCTTTTAAATGTGTAGGTGCTGAATTTTTAATTCATTTTTAATTTTTTTTAAATGCTTTTGCTCATCTCTTATGTTTTAATTGTTACCTGTTCTGTTTCAGTGTGAAAACTAGGAAGAATTAGCCTTATTCTTAGAGAAAGATGAGATATAAACTAAAATAATAATCAAAGGAACAAACATCAGAGTCTATGTTCATAGAGTCCAGGTGGATGTGTGGTGGGAATGCTACCCAATGCTCCCCTACACACTCACCAAAGACAGCAGACAAGAAGACATGTTACATGACGGAGCAGCCTCCTGGAAGTTACATTTGGGAAACAAGGTAGACAGAAATGACATGCAGATATTGTGGCAGGACAAGGCAAACTGCCTACTGTAAGTATGTCTGAACTTCTTGCCAAGCCAAACATGAAGGGCTTTTGGCATATACATATGAACTCCAACACTGAATTTCTGAGCCATATTTTGCAGAACGATGGTGAGAGGAAACTGTACTCTGCAAGATGCTGAACCAAACCACATTCTTACCTATCAGTTGCTGAAATATTTTTTACCTTGATAACTCTATCTCATCTCCATCATGCAAAAATCCCATACCATTCAGTCTTGCTGGTTTTTGACCGTAATAAAGTTATCCAATTTAATCCATGCTACTCAGTGAAAAAAATACTAAAGCAATTTGTGTTATGCACTTTGTATTATCCAACATTCAACCCTACACAGGAAAGAAAAATGTTACCTGTGTAGTATGTGTACTATGCAAATCACGCTCTACCATGGAAGCAAATATTTTCTCTTTCCCATCACATGCAGCTATCAGTTCAGGCAGACATTCAATAGGCCCTTGGTAACTTCCTGTCCTCTTCCCTTCATTCTTTTTACTGTAAACTTGTTTAATAAGGACGAAAAGATCTTTACGATGTTGATTAATGGTATTGATTTTACTGTGCAATTTAAAAATTAGCAAGAACACAATCAGCTTCACACATCCTTATGGGTTCTCAAGTAAGATGAGTGTGATAGTCTGTTTACTCTAATTAATATTCCTATCTGAAGCACACTTATATGTATATAATCAGCACATTATTTGGAAAAAAGAACATAAGAAGAGCCTCATAGGATTAGATCGAGGGCCTAAGGAGTCCAGTATTCTGCTCCCAAACGGTCAGCTAAATAGCTGGGGTGGCGGGGGTGGACAGTAGCAGGATATGATCACAACAGCACCTTCCAGCAACTGATACTGAGAGCCACACTGCTTACAATGCTGGAGGTAATATAGTTCATCATCCATGGTTTGCTAATCCCCCGTTAAAACCATTGGAAGTGGCAGCTATTTCTACATCAGGTAAGAAGATCTTGCAGTACTGAGTGATAGCGAGATTACCTATATCCTTGTGAAGAAATATTTCCTAATGAGCTATATTCAAATGCTAATCCCAATTAGTGTGGATCTACTGAATGGGACATATTAACAGTAACATACATCCTATTAATTTAATGGGTATATTCTAGTTGAGAGTCACAAATGCTTTTAGCCCTTTATGTCCCAAATATTTCACCACTCAGTTATACAAGATAACCTAGCCTTCCAGCATAACGAAAGAGGGAGAAAAACCTTTATCTCCACTTTACACTCTCTGCCATATTTTATACACCACCATTACATTCTGCCACATTTACTCCCCACAAAAGCTACAAAGACCCAAATATTAATCATAGGAGAATTCTTCTAGCTGTGATCACTTTGGTTACAAGTGTATTCCAAGTGTAGCAAAATTTTTGAATAAGACCTCCATCAGATTCAGATTCACTATTTAGGGAAAATAAGAAGCAGTAGTAGTGAGTGCTTAAGGTTCAGCAGTGGCACATTGATGGACACACAGGTGTCTAACTAGCCCTATATGAGCCAGAAGATACTGAAGAGCACAATCTTGTTCTGAGCTGTCAAGATCCTTGCTTTCCCACTTCTCTCCTCCTTTGCACATCCTTTTTATTTTAAATCCTTTAGCTCATTATTTGAGAGCTTTTTGATAGACACTTTGGTTTTGAGTGACAGCTTTCCAACTGACACGGTCAATATTAAATTCTTTCAATGTTGTCTTCAGAGAATTGAATTGTTTCTGCCAATTTGCATAATGGCATATGATACTGGCAATTTTCATTTTGTTTCTTTTTGTACTGATCCCCCCAATATGGAATCTGCCTTTTGTACAGCATTTGCACAGTGAGCAAACATTTTCACTGAGTTATGTACCACAAACCTCTATCATTCTCTGCTATAACTTTTTAAAAAGTGTGAAATCCTGAACACAGAAATGCACATAAGGGTTCATCCTGCCTTAATAGAGACCAGCATTTTGCACGGATGTCTATTTCAGTTATGTACCGACAGTGGTGAACTGGAGGGAATCATGTTAAAAGGGGGCAGTGGCGGCAGACAGGTGATACATTATAGGAACGGGGAACACACACATCGAAGCATTTGTGAGGTGCTGCTGTCTTATAAAAGTGTTTGAGTGAAATGGACACATTTTTTCATTGCATCAAGTAACTTCTATCAATCAGGCTCTATTCAGTAGAAACTGTTTCTTTTGAAAAACAACTGTGTTTGGATACATGTCTTTTTTTTGTTTTAATCCAGATGGGAAACCTCTGATCCTTATATGGCCTCCATGTCTTTTCCACAGGCTTTGCTTCTCTTCTACTTATACAAATGTAACTGAGATACAATAAACTAATTGTGTGCTGTCAAGTGATTCCAACCCAGGAACCCTTCTCAGAGTTTGCTGAGATATAAAGCATTCATGGCTGGTTTACCAGCCCTTTCTTCTGGGGGTGCTCTAGGGCTCTGTTGCTTGGCCAGAGCCACATAAGCTGGCTCTTTTCCTGGGAAGCAGACCAGGTACACCTAACCTCTAGCTCTGCAGCAAGGCACCCAAATCACTGTGTTATCCAGACAGCTACCACTGAAATATCTGAGAGTATAATGCACTTTTGCTATAGGGACATGATGATTGTTTAGATTTATGAGCCACATAGTTTTATAATGCCAACTAGCAGTATAAAAAAACTCATAAAGTGTTCGGGTTCTTAAGATATGATTGAATTCCACAAAATATTACAAGGGCAAAAGTGAACAATAAGAATCAATAATACCTTGTATTTCAACTGAACTGAATATCAACATTCCGAAAATGGGACCAATGCTTACCTGAAGAGATGAAGATGATGATATTCTATGTTTGGTATTGTAAGCAAGGAGGAATCATGGATCCATCGTCCCTGAATTATCATCTGTATCAAACTGGTTAAATTCAGAGCAGTCACCAACCAGCCCTGGTTTGCCGCAACATCTAGCATTGCCTGGATCAAGAAAATCACCATTTAAATTTCTCAAATGAAAAAAAGTAATTTTAAAATGTCCTTTATTATTTTAGGTGCATTGTTTCCTATCACTCAGTAGGAATTTCTGGTTTGAGATGGCCTCATTGTTTTCCACATTCATAAATAACAGAAAACTGTGGTTTGATTTGTTTTTTAAAAAAGTAAGCATTGTAATTAAAAGAGAGAAGTGTACAACCCAAAGACTTGCTAAGGCTCATTCCTGATAATCTAAATTATGGTTATGATAAATGTCTGTATCAGGCCACTGAGAAAGTGTGTCAGTGATAATACTAGCTAATTTCCAGTCCTAGCCACTGAACAATTGTGGAATCATTAGAATAATTATTTATTTATTTCAAATATTTTTATCTCACCTTTCTCCTTAAAAAGGACCCAAGTTCAACTAGTGCTATAAGACAGTGTAAACTGTCAGCTGATCAACTTCTATGTCCACCACAGTAATTTCAAATATTTTGATTCATTGGAGGAATATCCAACATTTACATAGCCAAAGTGTATTCCAAGTGTATTTGTAAGAGAACAGTACCATATAGGTATGTGCCATTTGGAGTGTTTGGACTCCAACTCTCAGAATTCTTAAGGAATTCCTCAGGCAAAATTCTGGAAATTCTAGTCCACAAACTTACATCTATAAACACTTTCAGGCACATATATTTCACTCACCTGAAGAAGTGCCTGCTTGCCTTGGAGGTTCCATGCCTATCTCAGATCTATTTCCTGTTGTTAATATACAACAATGGAAGTTGCCACAGTGCTCTTTAGGTGTTGTGCTCTTTATAGAGCCTAAAGGGCAGGAAAACCACAACACCCAGAAAGTACTGCAGCAGACTCCATTTTGTACCTGAACAACAGGAAGTATATCTGAGACAGACCTGGAGCCTTTGAGAGAGGCCCCACTCCAGGTGAGCAAAATATACATGCACAGGTTCCTAATGAGGAAAAGGATTATTCAGAACCCTTAATAATCCTTTTCATCACATACAAGAGACAAGCAATAAAAGAAGAGGAGGAAGCACAGGGAAGGAATTTGTAACTGGTTCAGTTATGTATCCTCAGATCCTTGCTTTTAATTATCATCAAGTGTTGTAATGTGCATACAACTTGTCTTTTTGTTCTGTTCTGAGAATGCAAGGGTTTTATAACAAGCCCAATAACCACCTGAAAAACATGCCAGTGTAGAAAACCACTAAAATATCAAATTCATATACTGTATAATTAATTTAAATTAGAACCACATGCTTGACCTTGGCAGTAGGAGTGAACAGATATCTCAGTTTTGCTTTCTCAGACATTTTTTAATTAATATTTTAAATCTTAACATCTTTTCTTCCCATTTGTAAGGAAATATGTAAATTTTGGAAGGTTCTGATCAAACAATGAAACAAAAAGAATACAATTCTTACTGATCCCTAGAAAGCAGCATCTAGAGCCCAGTTTGACAGTACAAGTAAATAGCCAATAATGTGGCCTCCAGACAAGCTGCAATCAAAAAGTGATAACATGTCATAAAGCTATAAATGCTAACATGAATATAGGTAGCCATTAAGACCCTGAGAGCATTGATAAATTTTCTCATTTCCATTAAGAAGCTCTAGTGTTTCGGTTTTGGTTTTTCGTTTTCGTTTTAGAGAATCTAGTCTGCATTTTGATGCTAGAATGTATACTTCAGACTTATCTTACAGCTCACTAGAGGAATGCTAAGCTGTCTATATTAGCTGGCACATTTAATCAAATGTTTTACAGACAAACAAAAGGCAGCATTTACTTAAGGCAAACTAAACAGCGGAATCTTCCTTAAACAAAGGAGTTGTTTACACATGCAGTGCTCTTTCAATTAAATTACACTGATCCAGGAGAAATGTTGAGTTTAAAAAGGTACACAAAGCTGGTTTCAGCTCTATGTGTGTGAGAGAGATTCAGCTTAAATAGGATGGAGTATGCTTTGATTTCAACAGGTTTTGTTTCTGACCAAGGTAAAAAGTAAATACTGATATTCACAACTATTTTCAAATGGGACATAAGGTTAAATGTGTCTCACATAAGTGATCCATAGGTGACTGCCAGAGGGAAACCTCCCCAACAAAGCTAGTGCTACAACTACCACAGAAAATGGTGTTTCTTAAATAGAAGCAAGGCACTATATTTTACAGTGTGAGTGATTTCCAATCTCTGCCATCCTTCAAGTATACACACAAATATCTGATGAAGGCGAATGTTTGCTTGGTGGGTACAACCATCATATACTGGTCCCCTTCCTATTGAAACGGTATACATCACTGCAAAGGAAACGTGGGATGAGCATACTAATTGGTTAACACCTTCACTACAGGTTGAGATGTCAAAAGAAAAAATGTTTTCCAGGGATATTTTCAGTTGTGCACTATGCCACCAATCTGAAAACACAACCAACTAACATGCACACACACACCTGACTTAAGAGTTATGTGTTTCAGACAATGCAGATTCTTTGGACAAGTATAATCAATATAAATTCTTATTTTAGTCATATTCCCAATATTAAACACATTTCTCCCTTTTTCTGTGCTTTCCCTATGCTTTCCCTTTCCCCCCAACCCTTCTTTATTTAGATAGTGGGGTATTAATCCATTTACTTCTTACTGGACATTACACATAGGGACTATTTGCAGTGATTGAGAGGAAGGTATGAACAAAAAAAAGTTTTCTACTGGAACTAGTGTATTTGTTTGTTTGGCCACTGAATCAGGTTTCAAGAGCAGGAACTTGATCAAGCATATTGCCATCTGTTAGCAAGTGATGCTTGTTATTGGATATTCTGACGTTTGCAAAAACTGACAGTGGTTTGCTCATATCCAGTGAGGAATAATAATAACAACTGTAAAAAGCTTGAATGTGCATTCCATACAATGCCAAAAGACCCAAACCAAATCCTTCTTCCTCCCCCTTTATTTTGTGCTCTCTCGACCATAATATTTATTCATTGCATCTCTATCCTGGTGTGAAATCCAGGACAGACACATGGTGAAGAAATGAGAACTGTGACAAGATTGGCTTCTTGTTCTTGCTGCTTGGAAACCTACTCACATTTTCATTCATTAACTAAGTGCAAAAGGTACAAATGCTTGACACATCAATGGAAATTGAAATTCCTGCAAATACTCAATACATCAAATTGAGTCATTCTGCTTGGTCTCTCCAACTCAGCCACAGGTATACTGGAGCAACTAAATGGAGAACGTATTTAACAGATATGCTCCATTTTCAAAGTACTAGTTCTGTGTATGCAGTCATCACCATAATAGGGTCAACTGCTTATTAGGTTTGAGATATCCAATCCATTACCTCTCTCTTGGATAAAACTAATTCTCTCCCTCAGCATTTTTTAGAAAATTATCTTTCTTCCAATTTTTCTTCCTTTTTTTCTACATTTTCCATCATGCTAAATTAAGCTTAGCAAGGTCAGGCAAAATGTAGGGTCTTGTTCAGAGAAGATTTTTTAAAAATATATTTTTAATATATATGCGGCACTCTTTATCCACAAAAATGGAAGAGAACAACAGAATCCAACTCTAAAACAAAGGGCATTACAGGCTATAAGCCAATTATGGAAGCAGAAACATTCTCAACAAAACAATTTGTTCTTATTTGTATTGTTACTTAACAGTATAGGAGTTCTGAATGTTTGATATTGAGATAGCAGTACAGAATCTGGAGGGAAGAGAACAAGGTTGAGACAAGATTTTTTGGCATCAAAGATAGAAAATGAAAATGGCACCTTCCTGGTGAAATACTCTTTCGTGGTGCCCCAGAATTGCCACCTGAGGCAGTTATCATGTTTTGCCTCATGGTAAGAATGCCACCTGTAGGACAGTCATAGATTAACCACTTGAGTACAAGGGCAGCATTTTCAGTCCAGCACAGAGTAGCTTGGCTTCTTGGGAAGACTGCAGCTTGGCATTATTTTTTCTGCTCTGATTTTATTATTTTTAAGTTAGATGAATTAATTTCAAAATATTTTGAGTCCCGATGTGAATTCTGAATTTTAATCAAAGATGGACACATGTGTGTGCATGCACACACACACTTTAAATACTTTTGGTGTGAAAAATGGTAAAGAAATGTAGCAAGAATATTTTCCCCCCAAAATAGTATATCCTTTTGTACATTTATTTTTTATTACAGAAGATGTGATAATGATCAGCAGACCATTGTGAAGTAACTCCAATTAAAACATAATATCCCAGTTGAAATCCTATAGTTGCAGCTGTATGAGTGCAAAGCTAATGATGTCATCAACTATAGCCTCTTATCGCCAACTGAAAGTTTCTGATTCCCTTCATTCCTCACTGGATATGAGCAAACCACTGTCAGGAAAGCCTTTGGGAACCTTAGGGCAGAGTCTTTAATGTTCAAAAAATCAGTGTTGTTAGTTCCGCCACTGGGACAAGGACAAGCAATGTTCAGACATCCAAGACTCCCCCACCTCCAACTCCCTCAAAGGATATCAGCCACGGTGTACTATATTGTATCATAACATATTGGGACTATCTGTAACATCAAAGATGGGGCTGCCCATGAGGCTGTTACAGAAACTTCAACAGGTCCAGAATACGGCATCCAGACTATTGGCTGTGATGAAGAAATACCATCACATCTCCCTCACTCTGGCCGCCTTGCACTGGTTACCTGTTTGTTTCCGTGGCAGCTTCAAGGTGATGATGCTGACTTACAAACCTCTAAATGGTTTGGGACCTCGATACCTGGCAGAATGCCTCCTTCCAATGCGATCTGCCCATTCTACACAATCTTCCCAGGCAGGTGGTTGAGAATACTGATCCTGAGAGAGGCCCGGAAAGAGAAAACAAAAAACTGGGCCTTCTCGGTGGTCATAACTCGTCTGTGGAACAATCTCCCACCTGCAATTTGCTTGGCACCTTTACTGGGAAGCTTTAAATGGTTAATGAAAACATAGCTTTTCA